CAGATGGGAGAGGACGGCTTGCCTTTACTTCCGCCCCCGAGTTCTACCATTGAGGCCAGCGTTAGGGAAGTGTTGAAATCGCTTGGGTTTCCCGTTCAGACGAACTCGTTTTATATGATTATAAAACAACTGATGGAACGAATCGCTCCAATTATGGTCGACCATCAGGGTATGCGTTGCACCACTTTTTATGCTTTAAATATGATTGAAAACAATCACGTCTTAAAATTAATATACGTTTTGTTTTATCCATTGTGAAGGTCTCCTAACTTTATTCAATTATGTTTCGGATTCACTTCTGAACGATGGAGAGCTGGACAGTGAGATGGGTGTCGATAACTCTGCCAAACGGGGACTTCAACTCATTTATGTGCGAATTATATTGCCTTTAATTTGAATCTTTTTTTTATAATTTATAAATTTGATTGTTTAGAGTCTTTCGTCTGTATTTCCGGCACTCTTTCACGGAAGAGAGATCTTCACAACATATCTGTTGCCGTTCTTATGGCAAAGCGGAGATCAACATCAAGTCTCTGAACTAATACTCCAGATATTGACAAATATCGGCGCTTCTGCTGGCGCTGAAGGCGGAATGGATGACTCGGAGTGTGTGTCGATCCCGTGGTGGGCCGCCGATGATGTCATTCCACGACTCGTCGATCGATTTGTTTTGAAAGGTAATCGAGTCGTCATATTGGAAGTGAAGTACAATATATTTACAATATGTTTGTGTCATTTCTAGCGTCGACATCAAAGCAGGCAAAGTATGCCATTCAGTGCTTAAACGCTATAATTGGCGACGAAAATGAAAAGATGAGAATCTTCGGAGAGATTATCGATCAGATAAAAGTAATTTATACTTTTTATATTGACTTAGATTAATATTAATGTTGCCATAAATTAATTGAAACAATGATTAAAAAGGCGAGCGGTTTATCATTGGAAACGTCTCCGTATTTCCGGAGCCATTTGGTTACACTGGGAATGATAGCCATCTGTGGCGGTCACTCATTCTTTCCCAAAGTTCTTCGCTCTATAATTCAGAAATTCATTGTTCAGGGATTGCTTATGAAAGACATGAAAACTGAACACGAAATCAATGCGTTGGAAGAGAGCGAAAGGCAGAGAGGTTTGCGCTTTTGTCTTAAACACTATTATATTTTAACTATTGTTATGATTGAATCAGAAAACACGGATCCTTTGATTACTTACGAGTATTGCAGCGAAGAAGCGAAAGCCAAAATCGAAGCAATCAAATTGATGGTCAGATGGTTGTATGGCATGAAAAT